AACGTTGGGTTATACACTCTGTAATAAAGCCCCACGTGGTAAATAAAGGTGTACGTATCTCTGCAGGATGGAAAAAAAAAATTTATATAATGTTACTCGGTATTTTTCGCATACGCAAGCAAGTAAGCGTGAGCGTGTGTCACTCAACGTGCAGTCCACGGCGTGTACATGCATCGCGTGGTGCTTATAAATCATCAATTCGGACTTGGAAATTTCAATTTGTTGTAACGACATTATTCATCTGTGGCGTGGTAGCCCTATTCTATTATGCGGTACGGACTGAATGGATACGTGTTTTTTTTGTCCACGCGGTGACTAACATATTTATTACGATGTCAGGGTGGACAACGTTGCCGACGACCACTTCGGGTGAATTGACCAACGCCGTTCGCTTATGCGCTATGTATGGCAAACGATTAAAACAAAATTTCCTGCCCGGAATGTTATAGACCGGATAATAAGCTGGACGTCAAATTGCCATTATTTCATTACTCTCATTCGTTTAGTGATTCTTATTGTATAAATAGTTTAGCTGAAACATTTTACCCTCAAGCTCGTTTGGGTTTTAATGATTAAAAAAACGGATATCGTGGAAATCTATATTTTACAAAAATCGGTACTTGCAGGGACAATAAATAAACTCTAGAACGTTTTGTACCAGATAAACTTATCAGTGGTTATCTCTGCTTTTCCCTCTAATGGACGAATTTCAAGCACTGCAGCCAGTGCTTTTTATTATGAATGGAATTGAAAAAAAAAAAAAAATTACAGGTAGATATGGAGCGCGCAACGGAGTCCAAACGGTTTTAAAAACGAATTTGTCAACTCGCCAGGAAGAGAATCAGCGAATAATTGCTCGACGCGATATAACGGCACGATAAAAGTCTGGGCGACGGTATTCTCCCCCCCCCCTCCGCGAAAAAAGAAGAAAAAAAAAGGTCGAAGCTATAGGATAGGAAATTGCTTTTTCTTGCTCTTATACGCACGTCGTCATAACAAATCACGCATGGAGCTTTCGACGCCTGGATCGCTGCCAGCTCCGTTTTTCCTCTATTCTCTCTCTCTCTCTCACTATTACCGCGTCCGCTCGTGTATATATCTGTGTTGGTGCACGTATCGGAATAAGATCGCAACAATGTATTATATATTTCGTTGCAAAAGTTGGAGAAATCCGATGGATCGATTTCTGCGCGACGCTGAATTGAAATCGAGCACCGATACTATAGCCATTTACTGTTACCAGCAGCAACTCTGGTCTCTTGCAAAAAAACACGCAAAATATGCATACGAATGATATCGGTGGGTAGAGAAGTCAAACTCTGGCTTCCACGCGTGCACGTATGTACCAAAGACTCGAGTGTGCAACAGCTGAGAGCAAGTGAAAAAAAATGTTTTCAGTTTTTTTGTCACCCTTTCCCCCTCCATCTCTCGATGGCACGATATGAAATATCGACCCCTGCCCCGGTGCATGCCGTATCTTTGTCGTCTCTCCGAACCGGCATGTCGAGAGATCGATAGCCGAGACGGGTAATGGCATCCATCCTCGGGTCTCGGGCACACCGTGTACAGGGACTCACTTTAATTGTAACGTTGCACAGCACCGACGTAATAGCCTATCGTGCCTCGTGCTGGAATTTATAATGTAATTATAATTGGGCTTCGATCTTTGATTACAACGTCGATACACAAGTTGGGAAAAAATAACTTTTTCGCGAGTGTCGAGGTTGGGGCCTTTGTGCGCGTATTAACTCCTCCAAAGGAGCAGTGGGACTATTGTGCACGAGACAAAAGGAGGGGAATTCAAGCGCGAGCTTCGAAATTTTGCGGCTAATGTGCTCGCAGTATGGGAGATATATCAGGTCCCTGTGTGTGGCGCAATACAGGCGCGTTCCGGGCCCACGGCTGGTGCAATTTTACTGAAAAACCAAAAGACTCTGACAGAAAAAAGAAAGGGGGCAAGGGTGGCTGTACGTGCTTGGTATGTAATAATCGTTGCATAATTGACTCCTCGATGTTGATGAATGGAAGGGTGTCTACTACGTATCCTCCTACGAGATGCCAAATTGTTAGTCGAGGAATATAAAAAAAAGCTCATCTTTCCTACTCGAGGTCGCGTCTTCCTCCTCTTACGCGATCGATGTCGTCATCGATAAAGGGGCACCCGTACCTTTCGAATAAAACTCAAGTTCCGCGCATCGCGTAAATAATGTACTGCAGCGAACGCGACCCGTAAGCCGCTGCGGCGCCGATACGGCTTTTTCTTCGAAAGTCCCAGCCACCGCTCGCCAGCTTTTCGTCATCGATCCGTCGCCGCGGCTTTTCTCGAGCACCGTCGCGGACGACGAACTCTTTCTCTCGAGGGCTCCCTTAGCGGTATTAAAGTCCACGTAATACCTGCCCCCGTGGCTGCACCAATGGGCGGGCGCTTTGGTGACTATTTTTTTTCTTCCGCCCCATCCTTCGACGAGCAAAGGTACTTATTTGTTTGGATTTTTTCCAATTGTGTACATATTCCTGATACCTGTGAGACTTGGGCATTACAAACAGTGACAATTTGAGTACCATATCGTGGATGAGTACGTACAACGTGAAATTACTTTTCACGAAAGAGTTTACCAGTAATGAAAGATAAATAAAGTGAAGGAAGATAATTTTTTTTCTATTTCTGTCGGCTTTATTGGCTTTGCGATAACCGTTGCCGATTGGATTGCCTCGGCTACATGTATGTGTATGTGTGAAATCTCTATCTGTACACACATGGGCAAAGATAGGAGTTCCCTGTCTAATTTCTGCCTTCGCCTCGCGATAAATCTGTTGTATCTGGGACGACAAATATATACGCCCGGTGCTGTATAGGTGCCTCACTCCGGAAACCGAAAAAATAGAAGAGCAAAGAGATAATAATATATACTCACGGGTATACGAGACGTGCAGGGGGAACGTCAGCCATTGTAGTCTCGAAAGGCTTTCGACCTTCCGCTCCGTGTCTCCTCCGGTTCGTTGTCTTCATTATCCCGACATTGCTACCTCATCTCGTGTCCCCCTTCTCCTCTCACAATTTCATATCAAAAGATCGCTCTCCAATGAAAGTCTTCCTCTTTCCCTGCAACAAAGACATACCCACCTCCGCGTTACTTGGAAAATATACCATATCTTTGGGTGTATTGGTTATGGGCTCCCAGCCAAGCGCTATTTCCTAATTTGATTCGAATGAATTTCGGGTCCTGGTAAGCCCATCTTCGAGTTTTCTTCTGTTTATCAAGCACTTCGATTCATGATTTCTGGTCCTTTCATGGTGATATGATTTTCATGGGTCACGTACAAATGTTCACGCAAAGCAATGGAAATTAAAAAAAAAGAAAAAAATTGGGTGGACCCAAATATTTACATCAAGTTACATTGGTGTCGCGGTAATATTTATGAGATCATTTGAGAACTTTGACCACATTATTTCCATCTCCCTTGCGTTACCGGTGTTCAAAGAGTGGCAATAAGAGCTTAATTTAACGTAAATCACGCGTATACGTCAACACGAGAAATAGAGCTCGTTTTCACAATTTGCAGTAGACACACGTTTTCACGGACGGAATATATGAGAACAAAAAAAAAGTAAAAAAGTAAAAAAGCCGGCGATTAGCGCGAAATTGTTCGTTTTAAGCTCGTGGTAATTGTCAACTGCCTCCTTTTCTCCTCTTCTTCACTTTTTCTCCCTTTTTTTTTTTTTTTTTTTTTTTTTTTTCATACAATACACACGCGCACTGGCACATTTTCTGCCCTCTTCTGCCTCCTTCAGCCTTTAATAAAACTTTTTCAAGGGAGCGGGCGGTAAAAATCCGGCAGTTTCTTTTTTTTTTTTTTTTTTTTTTTCTTTTCCTTCTTTTCTTCTTTAATTTTAAATGCAGGCTCTTGCTCCCGTTTTGCCGCACTTGCGAGAAAAAAACGTGCCGACACAGCAAAGAACGTACCGAGAAAAAAAGGAGGATAGGCGACGAGAATCAGGCCAGGACTTGGCTGCGGCTCAGCAGCTAACCTTTAGTCAAAAGGAGCTAATTTGTTAAGTTTAAAGGGCACACATTTTCTGGGTTAACAGTCGCCTTTGAGTTTATTTAAAATAGCAAATAAAAAAATGTTCAAAGATATCGATGGTTCGCAGTTTGTCGTTACTGATTGCGTAGCGTCAAATATTGGCGCGCTCCTCATGATTTTCAGTTCTACCTATTTAAGGCTAAATATCGAGGACTCGACCTTAAAATGCCTTTTCGCACTTCTCTCCATATTCTACCTGAGCCAGTCACTCTGACGATTTCAGTAACGTAAATTTCACTAGTATAAATAATCACGTGATTCGAGGCTTTGTTTGTTCCCTCGGTGCGTATTTGATGTTTCATAATATCTCAGACTGGAATTAGATTTTTGTTCCTGCAGATCGAGAGGAAAATCTCTCGCTGTCTAAAAAGATACAACGAAAAATAATTATTCAGCGTTTCAGCTCTTTTCCATGCGTCAGAGTCAGACTTAATTGGAAAGACAAAAGAAAAAAACTAGCTAGCGACGAGAGGTGCACTTTGAAAAATTCCAGAGTTGAATAATTAAAAAAAAATTGAAAAAAAGAAAACGCGAGATCTGCTGCAGCGTAAAACTAGCTCCATTTTGCGTACGTATACATAGCTTTTTTTAGAGTGCAAAATTACGACTCCAACGAGAGTACCTTCAGGGTAAAACAATACGCAGTAATCAGCGCAGCAGTGCGCGCACACGGACATGTATAAGTAAGAAGCAAATAAAAGAAAAAGATTTTTGAAACACGTTGTACAATAATATACTTGTACATTGCGTTGCTCGGCAGTGTCCTTTTTGCGAGTGTACCACACGGGAAAAAAAAAATTCCTAATACATCCCAAGTAAAATCGAAATATACCACTCGCCAAACACTATACACCCCAAATTCGTAAATACAGTAACCCCTTGAATCTAACCAGTTTCCATGCATTATGTTTCAGAACGACACGCTTCAGGTAGTCTGGCAGTACCACGTGGATGAGCCGGCGTCAGCGGCCGGGGTCCTCCCATCGGAGGGCGCGGTGCGCGGCACGCGACCTCTCTACCTCGTCCAGTTGGACGTCCAACCGCGGCGCAGCGTCAGCCGTCCGATCGCCGGTATCATCAGCCCCGCGATGGGCGACAGCGGCAGCAAGAAGCAGGAACCCGAGCCAGTGCTCCACGTCTGGGACCTATTCAACGAACAGGTGAGAGATACCGTTTTTTTTTTTCGCTTGTAATATGGCTCTCTGCGTGATTCATCCCCTGAAAAGGACAAAGTGGGGGCACGCGTTCAAGACCAAAACAACGAAGGAGGGGGTGGGGAAAACGTAACGAAGTAATTAAAACGTGCGTTCAGCCCTTCGACGCGTAGCCGTGTAATTATTTTCGAATCGAATTTAACGTCAAGCCAAAGCACAGCCACCCACAGGTAATGACACACGTGCTCGACTAGCCGATCAATCGGGCGAGCGGGCGCGACAATGGCCCGGCGACAAAATTAATATTCATCGGTACGGTAGTATAATGTGTGTACAACGCGGAGAAGCGCTCAGCCCAAGGAAGGCCGGACAATTAGGATGTTTTAATTAGCACCGGCTCCTCGCCAATTAACGCGAACCTCACCAGCGGGGCTTTATTATTAACCCGTGGATGGCGCACAGGGCTCGAAATTAATCCGATCGACCGGCGATGAGGACACGGACCTTGTAATCCGTGGCGCAACAAACGGTGATGCAACGCCGCGCCTCATTAACCTTTTTCCTCCTTCTTGTTTTTCCGATAGGTGCAGAGTGACTTTCAAAGAGCCCTGAATTATTTATCGCACACCTCAACAGCCCCCGTAAAGATGAAACTTTAAACAAAGGAGTATACACACGGATACGCGCAAGGGGGGAAACTTGATTTCGCTGGGCCTTATGAATTCGCAAGAAGGACCGATCGCGCGCTATTACGCGGTGACACGCCCCTTCCTCGTTACTCATTCATTTGCCTTTGCGTGTACACGTATACATACGTACACGGTCTCGGTTTACTTGGTCGCGCAGGGCCTCGAAACTCGTATTGCGTTCCGCGGTCAATTAACTAGCTCTCATCGTTAATTGACATCGTTTCCGGATCGATAATCCACGTAGGGCCGAATTTTCTCGTGCGCCGTACTCGTATATATACCCGTGGGTGAGAGCGGGACGCCGAGCCGGACTTCTCGGGCATTAGAATAAGAAATCACTAATGCAAATTGCGCGACGTGCAAACGCGAGCACGCTACCTGCGCGCACGTGTATACACGGGGAGTTTGGAGACCCCTGGAGTGTCGCATCGCGCCTGGCTTGGGAATTAATCGTCCTTACTTGCGTGGTTCAACATCGCACGCCAACTGTTGTATGTATTCGTATGCACTGGGGCCTCTCTCTCTCTCTTTCTCTTTGTCCTCCGAGTGAAAAGTCGAAAGTGCCTAATTGCACGACACCTCGCGTAAGTATATATTATACAGGTGTCCCAAATGCAGAGTGTCTTGTTTTTTAATTTTATGGATAGCTTTTTAATCGCGTATGAAAAAAAAGGGCGCAAGCACGTTTACGTTGCGGAAAAGTTTTCCTTGAATGAGATGACCCAATTGCTTTCATTGAATACCAGGTGTATGGCCATTAGTGCGATTCATCGTTATATTTTCGCTTGCGTGAATGCGTAATATTTTCTCGATCCTCGCCAACGGAAGCTTACAAACAGAGCGGGGAAAAAAAATATGTACGAGTTTACACGAGTTTTTACACCAAAGCGTTCGCTCGTTGTTGATTTCAATCCCTTTCAACTCTCAGCACTCTTCGAATGACGCAAAACCTCTCATTACCGTGTAGCTCACTAAATTCGCTCGTTACCTGCATGGAGTCGAAAGGGCTTGAAAAAAAAAGAAATCCATGAGTCACCCAACCATTGCACGCCCCAACAAAAAAGGTGCGTGACCCCGTTTGCCTCGCCCTCGATACGTCACACTACACGCATGAAATAAAAAAAAAAAAAAACTTCCATCCCTCCCCGAACGCGATTTAAACGCCGAGATACCCCGACGCACTTTATTAACGCGTAAGCTCACGCACCCCCACCATGTATATTCATATATACTGTAACAGCCCACGCCCTGCAGATTGCACACAAACTCGCGCTTAATGAACGAATGGGCTTTCGCGCCAACAGGAGACACCGCACCCTCCCCCATTTTTTTCCACCCCCTCGGCGATTTATAACCTCGTAAATTCAGCAGAAGCGGCGGGCCGATAAAAATCCGCGGAAGCGCCACCGCTCGAGCGAACGGGTCCCCCGGGCGGAAGATAGCACCCAGGAAAAATATGTGGCGGCCGAAAGAAGCCGGCCGCGGGGTGTCTCCCGAATGCTTTTCTTCGGCTCGCGGGTTTTTGCACGATATATCGCGGGAGGGTGTTTTTTAGGAGCGCAACCCCACCGCCCTCCAGTTACCTCTTATTTGTGGACGTAGGCGTGGAATACAGGGAACGTGCGATGCGATTCACACTGGTTTTCGTTCGCAGTGGGTTATTTTTCTCGGTTAAGAGAATAAGCGATGAGGTAATTGATCGTTTTAATGAATCGAAGGGACTACTCGAGACTCGCGGTGAGGCAATGCCACTCTGGGAGACAACTCGTGTTTGCGCGAGTTGCCATTGTTCGGTCGTTACTTTGGGCCTTTTTCTTTCTCGTTTTCTTCAATTGCAGCAACTTCTCGTGTCGTTGACTCCAATGAACAACGGCCGTGGCGAGAGATAATGCCGAGAAGCCCTGAATTAACTTGTACGTCGACAAATATCGCGTTGTCGATCGGCACACGCGCTGAATAATCGTTTGTACTGAAGGCTCGTGGCAAAATTTATACGTTATTCACCAAGAAGTACTATGAAAAATAAAATCAACCAAATGGTAGCTCACGAACGTCGATCGAAGGAGGTGGGGGAAAGAAAACGCTGACCTCTTTCTATAGTTGTCAGAACGACGTATCCAACCATCGAGACACTCTCGTCGTCACCTTGGGGCAATACCAGAAAAACAGTTGTCACGAAATTTCCGATTTTTCTATACAACAGAAGAGTGCGAACGTCAAAGAGTTCGGGGAGTCATTTGCGCGCAAAAGCCAAAGATGGATGCGACGGAATCTAATTAGAATATTAATTAGTCACCCGAACTTTAGTCACCGCTCGGAACTTTATGAAGACAACATACGAATATGCAGAGCTCAAGAGGGAGGGGCTTTAATAATAATTAACGAAGCTCTGCTATTCGCCAATAAACTTAGACCAAAGTCAAACAACCCGATGTACCCGCATAAATATGCCAATCGAAGTGCACGTATGATGTACAGACGCAAGACGACTTGAATATTAAATCGTGGTGTTTTACTTTCCAGGTCCGCCTGCCGATGGACCAGGACACTCTGCTCCAGTGCCGAGTCTTTACTCTGCCCAAAATTCTGCGCAAGCACCACGTCGTCAGGGTAAGTGACTTTTACAATTGCACCCTCAACCCTTCTCTTCTCATCGGCTCGTAAGAGAAAAATGACAAGTTTGATGGAAACAAAAATAAAAGCCAGCCAGTCGTCACCGAAATTTTCAAAGCTTATCCAACAGCCACACCGTCGCCCAATCACGTTTATCCCCTGCGCGACTCAAAAATGCACGTACCCGCTCGAGTCCGAGGCACGGAAATTCCCGAGCTTTTCCGCGTTTCCCCGTCCCTATATGTATATATACCTGTACACACATACACACAGGTACGAGGGAGCCCTTTCGCACGAGAGCAAACTCAATGGTACGTGCGGGCGTGCCGGGCTTGCGAAACAAGCCGAGCCGATTAGCGATCGGGCGAGCCTTACCCTGGACCCTGTATATATATATGTATATATATATAATATACACGCATGTGTGGGTATACGCGCACCCTACGGAGTTGCGCCGCTGTTGTCGCTGCGGACGGAAAGTTGCGTGGAAACGCTGTGGCCATAGCTCGTTAGTCCCCCTCTCGTATCTCCCTCCCTTTGGCTGTGTATATATATACATATGTACGTAGCTCCATCGCTGGACTTTTATAGTGTATGTACACCACGAGCGGGGTGGAAGAAGGGCTTTATTTGCCATGCCGAAGACTTTTCTTAATGAGTCGAATTAAACGCTCTCTCTCTCTCTCCTGTCGTGACGTTAACGTAATGACACCAAAGGAGGGGGGGGGGGGAGACGAGGACGGCTGTATACGTGACGCAGGGATTTAAATAATTATTCAAATCCAATTAACGGAAAAATACCATCGGCGAGCTTGCGAGGGATAAATATTTATTGTTTCGTCGTTACCGGGGATCGTTATGTACAATGTATATAATATACGTTATATTATGATGATGATCGGTTCGGAAACTGTGGTACACGGGTGTTGGGGATAAGTCGTTATCAGCGAAAAAAAAAAAAAAAAAAAAAAAGATGAGGGTTGAAAGGTATCGATCACGGCCTCGAGCCAATAAATAATGTACGACCTATACCCCCCCGGTGGAAGGGAAAAACTGTCTCAGTCGCGGAGATAGCTATCCCCCGTGTACTTATACATATAAAATGTAATGAATCAAAGATGTATACACGTACATATACCTTAGATGCACAGTCCCACGGAAAGTTATAACGGAGATTAAATTGGACGAGTCTCGGAATAAATAATGCATACACTTGAACTTGAGCGACTCGCGGCTGCAGTATGCATCTCTGCGCTCCTCTTTTCCTGAATATATATATATATACATATTATCCCATTGATGTATGAAAAAACGAAAGAGTAAATAGCGCGGGAGGCTGGTTGGCTGTCTCATTAGCGTGTGCCGATCTGGCGATGTGCATTCAAATGAGCCGGGAGAAGAGAAGGATGAGGTCTATATGTGTTCCACGTGTGTATCCTCGCTTGTGCGATTTTCTCTCAATGTCTACTATACGTGCGTCTCTCTATTGCAGTACGAGCCCGTTATCCAACCCGGAAACGAGTACTACCTCCACCACATGACCCTGTACGAGTGCCGGGGCAACGAGACGAAGCTCAAGGAGGCCAAGAGGACCAACGGCTCGAGCTGCTCCTCCGTAGACTGGTTGCACGCTCAGTGCAACACCATCGCCGCCACTTGGAGCCTGGGATCTGAGGTTGGTCCTCCGTTTGATTATCATTGTATGTAATACACCCCGTCTCTCTCTCTCTCTTGCGTTTGCCCACTGATTAGTATTCGACTGGCGCCTGTGCAGCCGGTCCAAGGTGACACTCGGCTAATCGAAGCGCGCCCTGTTTTCCCGCAAAAGGCGAGGAATGCCGGGTGACCGGCTCTAAAAAAAAAAAATCTAAATTAAACCTCGGTGATAGTTGCGCTTTTTGTTTTTGGTTTTTCTTTTTCGCTCGACTGAGCAAAGCATGACAAATTGTTTGGTCAGGGGAGGAAGTTTGTTTTGGGAAAAATAGAACTGCGGAGACCGCTCGAATTAGCATCGGAAAGCCTGTACGTGTATGGTGGGCGGAAAGTTCATATCGAGTGAAAAACTCGTGCCTTTGACGGCGGACAACGCTCCGCGCAATATTCGGCCGAGTTTGACAGTAACCGCTGTATTTTTATCGTACGCAAAAAAAAAAAAAAAAAAAAGAAGAATAGTCCAGGCAGGCGCGCGTGCTTTTCCTTTCCACCGGTTTTTTCGTACACAAATCTCCAAGTAGGTCAGTTCGCGAAACCAAATAGAATGAAAGGGGGGAGAAAAATGTACATCAACCCCCGTTACGTTTTTTTTTATATCGCAAAAAAGTATAGATATGCCTTTCAGCGTGGAATCCATTTCCCTCTAATGTGCGCCATTAATAACGCATAGAGACATCTTTGGCTGGAGTATACACCGCATCCTCTCAGCGGAGGTATCGCTTCTCGCCGTCACCTTTACAATTTTGCTCGCCATTCAGACTCTATCTTTTTTTTTTTTTTTCATGTCTCATAATTCATATTCAAACAACCAGAGCTCCTTTTCGCCATCCCGCCATAACGATGTGTTTCGAAAGGGTCTTAAAAGAGTCTCGCTGACTCCGCACTCGCACGCCGATAAACTCTGCACCTTTATTTTGCCAAGGCCGCTCTTTGGTGCGTGTAACATATGCCCGCGGAGACGTCAGCTGTGGTGTAAACCGCCGCGATAGCAGCCAATAAAAAAAAAAATCCACCCGTAAACACAGCGTTTTAAGACCCACTTCGGAAACGATACAACCGATCTCGTACACAAACAGCATCGGAGGAAGAAAAAAAAATTGCGAGCTTTAAAAAAAAAAAAAAAAACATCAAGTCTCCGCCTTGCTGCATCACTTGTAAATATCTATGCACACTCGCAATAACATTGTGCAGGTAATATTTACTCACCGATATATGAGCAAACAACCGCAAAATTGTGGTCGCAAACCTTATTTTTACTGCGTTATCGTTGCACTTCTCTTTCTCTGTCCCTCCCGAAATAGTCTCATGATCCATGTCATCGTTTCGATTTTTCGTCACACTGTAACCTTTGCGATTGTTTGCTGACTGGATTTTTCTGGACAGTGAGATATACCATACAACAAGCAAGTACTCATTTAGCAAGTAGCGATAACTAATGGTAAACTCATACGTAAATAAATGGCCATAATCAGCCATGTTTATCTTTTCTCTTTTGTACTTCAATAAATTTCTTTGCCCTAAAAAAAATGGTCGTGTACACATAATGACGCAAGTTAAGGTCAAGCGAATAAACATCCGCGAGAGTAAATTTGAAACAACGTTTTCCACCTCCACAGGGACGAAGTTAACAAATGCTCCGACAATCAATAACCGTAAGTCGGTGTAACAGACAGCTATTAATAACCAAAACGTAAGGCACACTCGTTACGACACGCATAAATTCCCCAGCGCTACCCCGAGCACACGCACACGACGTCGGTGTACCTTCAATAAATAACACAAGAAAGCCTGAGCCCATCGAACGTTGGGGGGCGCAAAAAGGTACAGCCCAATTAATCGATCGACCCATGAAAAATAGTCGCGTGGCCGAAGACGAGGAGCGGAAAAAAGATCCCGCCTCCCCCAACGACCCGATTTCAATAATCCCCTACTTAAGAGTCGAAGCGCATCGACACGCAACCGGGCGCGTGCCAATTATACATACCATAACATCCGAAGCGCCATCACGACGCGCAGGTGACTAACGTCCCGTCGATGCTAATTCGCCCTATTTTTCAACCTCCTCCTCGTCCCTCTCTTCATTTATCAAGCCAACTCATCCAGGCGCAACGATACGAGTGCACGTGAGTACGATGTATAGCACGTGTATGTAGGTATATATACGTATACCCAACGCGTCGTCTCAATCAAGCCACAAATCATTTCGCGACGCTAACCACAGCTCAGTGTCGATAATTGGCCCGCGCGCCCTTCGAAAGCAAAATAAGAAACTTGGCTCTCCCTCCTTCGTGTCGATTCGTCGTAGAGAGAGAGAGAGACCACCCAAAGTTACTCCACATGCACGTTATATATACCTGGCCAAACCCAAACCAAATTAAAGAAGAAAGAAAGAAAAAAGAAGGAGAAGATCGAGTGATCCAAACTCAGCGTTGTGTCTCTTTTTTCTCCCCCTTACCATCCAGGGCTTCAATTACCCGGCCGAGGCGGGCTACGCGCTCAACGGGTACGACGGTCCGCGCTACTACATGCTCGAGACCCACTACTCGAACCCCCAGTTGGACTCTTTCGTCACCGACAACTCGGGCCTGCGGCTCTACCACACCGACAAACTGAGGACCCACGACGCTGGGGTCCTCAGCATCGGCATCGACCCCAATTGGCGGCACATCATACCCCCCGGCCAGCCCGAGGTCATTTCCGAGGGCCACTGCATATCGAGGTGCACCGGCGAGATGCTGCCCGACAAGGGTGTCAACGTTTTCGGCGTCGTCATGCACACCCACCAGCTCGGCAAGAAGGCCAGGCTCAGGCAGATACGCGACGGCAAGGAGCTGGCCCCCATCGCCGCGGACTCGAGCTACGACCCGAATTACCAGGAGTTCAGGAGGCTACAGAGGCCCGTCAAAGTCATGCCGGTGAGTCTCTTTTTTTTTTTTTGGGGCATATATACACACTCAACGTGTGGTATGATAATACTCCACGCGATCAAGTTTAGTCCACGCAACGAGCATACGAATACGCACTTGTAGCAAAGAAGAGAAGAGTGGAGGACAGATAGACAGACAAGGGGAAAGGGGAGGGTGGAGTAAACAGACACCGGAGTAATTGTCAAAATAACAAACCGTACTCGGGGATGGGCGCGCTTGTCCCCTTCCATTGTTGTTGCAGGGCGACCACTTGATCGCAGAGTGCACCTACTCGTCCCGGACAAGGCAAACGATCACGCTCGGCGGAGTTACGACCAAGGAAGAGACTTGTCTGGTCTCGGCTTTGTACTACCCGAGGATCGATTTGTCGCTCTGCTACTCGCTGCCGGCTCTTCGCACCGTCCTTCACAGCCTCGGCATCGAGGAACTCGAGTGAGTATACATTATACCTGTGCGGGTCGAGCTTCATTGTTTTTTTTTTTTTTTTTTTTTTCCTTTCTTTGTTTTTGTTTCGCTCGAACCACTTTTCTTTCAATGATTGAATATTCATATCAGCAGCGAGCTTTTAATGTTGCATCGAGCATTTTTGTGGCCAGCAAGTTATAAAGATTCTCTATTGTTTTTTTTTTTTTTTTTTTTTTTTTTGCAAACTATCGCAGAGGTGCCTCGCCACTGCGGATAAAGTCGCCGGTGGAGCTGAAGGGCATGACCCTGGAGGAGCGCCTGATGACCTACGACTGGCAGACGAACTTCCAGGTGTTCGCGGAGGCGACGCACCGGGGCAGCTTCAAACCCCTGTGCTCGAGCCCGAAGGGGACGATCGAGACGGCGGTGGAGGCGCACTACCCGCGCATCATATTCCCGTACGTGGAGCCGACGGTGCCGTGCATCCGGGAGCAAAAGCAGCACAACAATTGGTCGATCCGGTTGTACAAGGACCGGGACATTGGGGGCACCGAGGCCGACGAGACGAACAGCGTGGAAAGGGGCCAGTTGGTGCGGAACAAGGTGCTGCGCAGCAGCGACGGCTCCTCCTTGGCCACTGGCTCGGCCGCTAGATGCGCCCCCGTAGTTCTGGTGCTCGCGATACTCGCCATGGCGCTCAGGTGAAGATGCAACCGTGAGGGCCCCGGCAAGGCGTCGTTACTCCCCGCCTGGAGGCAACTCTTGGTGAGCGAGTAAACACACACACGTACACACAAAAAATTATTACTTGTGTTACATACGCATATACACACTTGACTTGTTCGAGATTCGATTCGTTGAGGTGTAGAACCGCTCTTTACGGTCGTTATTTATCATTGCTGCTCTCGTATTTTCTATTTTCTTTCCTTCCCTTTTTTTTTATTCGCATCATCATTATTATTATGATTATTATTATTATTATTATTATTATTATTATTATTATTATTATTATTATTATCATCATTATTAACTACTTGAATTGTAAATTTTGTTAACTACTGGTTAGGATTCTATATAACGTATGTTACGAATATACATATATATATATATTTAATAATCTCGAAAAGTGCGAGACTAATAACTGCTTTACTGCTGATGAGAGCGTTATATAATGTTTACGAATGGGGGGGGGGGGTATGTGCTCGAGTGATCAGATCGAATTGGCAATTTTTTTTTTCGTTGTGTCCATACATTTCCAGTTTGAAGTGATAAAATGTTGAATTTGCCTCTGGAGTACGTTGTCTGGTCACTTGGGCGCTATTTTTCTTGGTACAGCGAGTGTGAGTACCAATCGAAGCCGATCCGGGCATCGATCGGTGCCCATACTCCATCGATACTCGTTACACGCCGTTCTGTACAGATTATTTTTATTATTATTTAATGACGAGTAAATGATTTATTAATATTATTGATACGAATATTAACACGATTCGCGAGCGAAAAAACACGCGTTTATTTATTCCTATTTAAGATTCTCTTGCAATTGAAAGAGAACGAGTCACGTGCGATATTATTTTTTAAGAAAAGGTAATGAAAATAAATGTTCTATCGTCAGCTTTTACTCAAGTTTGATATTCGCGTATTTTTTCACGCAATAACTAACGTTTAACCAACAAATTCGAGATACTTGATACGCAAGAAGCGCTCGATCGCTGGTTAAGTGAACTAACTTTTTTTCTTTTTTTTTTTTTTAATCGTACAAAACTTTCGTCATCCACTCGATCGTGCGCTACTTCGTCGCTTCTCTAGTGGTGCTTGCACTGTCCGTTGTATGTGTGTGTTTGTATACAATTAGACCTTTTTGAGATACGGTGTATTACCAGCACAGATGCAAATTTTTCATTTCATTTTAATTATAGTAAAAAATGACGTGTTCCTCAAACTAACTGCCCTCGGTTGTATTGAAAAAGTTTATCGTCCGGTTTGACCACGCGTTCGTGGAATACCGTCAACTTCTAAAATACTGTACATACACCGTTGTACGAGTGACACGATGAATTTTCATCAAATTTTGTTCAGCACCTCATAGAAAGCCAAGTTTGCCAAAAGAAGAAACGCAAGTCCGTTCAACACTCGATTGATTCATTTTATATATACATACATTCATTATCGTTTATCTCAAAGAGGTGTTTGATAAAAAGTGTAAAAAATTCTGATAGTCAACTTTGGCGGGATCTAATGTGTTGTTGAAGAAACAAAAGAAAAAAAAAAAAAAAAAAAAAAAAAAAAAAAAAAAAATGAATCGATAAAATAACTAATACCGTAGTTGATATTTTACAATTTAATACTGATTATTCGTCGGTGTCATAGAGGACGTCTGTGTGTGTAGCGTGATAGGCTCCGTTGAATCAGCCAACTGATGTGCTTGGCGTTCGTCGAAGTAACACTTGCTTGCCACCCATCACACCTAACTATTTTTGAAGGAAAACGATGAAAAAAAAAACAAAAAAATAAAATCCACATAGTATTTTTATGAAAGTTATTTTAACAAAAAATTCGAAACAATAATTTTCCACGGGAAATATCGCTCGCACTATGGGGTCATAGCAGGTGTTTTCTCGACGAGCGGCTACGAAATGCAAAAGAGCTTTGAGTATATTACGTAGTTGAGAGAAAAAAACAAACCATTAAATAGAGAAAAATGTAGCTCGAAAAATAAAAAAAGGAGCGTTTCAAATTTGAGTAAGACGAATGATAGAAGCTACTAAAAGTCACATAGGTACGGGATATTTTGAAACGATGGGGAATGATAGAAGGACGACTATTCTGTCGGTGATATTGACCAGAACAATCAAGAAAACGCAGCTCGAATTGCTGATTCCAATTGCTCTTAATAGACAAAACAGAAGAATCATTTGCAAACCAGTTCATCCCTACAATCGCCCAACAAACACTCAAACGACGCGCGTAGCTTCGAAAACGTACGGAAGTAAACCAAAATACCAATTACCGATTTGAAGGTACACTTTTCAAGTGATTTGTCAAATTTTCCTCCTCTCCCTGCAATCCACGAGAAAAAGAAGCAAAGAGGCCTTCCTTCCCCTTTTCTTTCCCTCTACAGTCCACCCCCCCCCCCCCCCCGAAAATCCCTCCGATCTCTGCCCTTACGTTTCATTTCCGCTGCTCTTCACTTCCAATTTCGGATACGACACACATATCAGAGTGTAAAAACTGACGCGCGTGTTTGGCCTTTTGTTGGTGATTCTAGGTCGGTTACGAAGTCGAGCATTGTGATTATTGCCTCGATACTGTCTGTCGATCGTCGATGTACCGTATTTTTTAGTTTTGCGTTTGATTTTTTATTTATTTCAATTTTTTTTTTTTTTTTTTCATCAGAACCAAAATAGATGGGTAACAGAAAGGTACTGCACATCGACTTCGACGACGTAGAGGTCGAATGAGAGCGTGGTAATGGTAAAAAAAAAGAAAAAATTATATTAAGGATACGAATATATCGCAAGCGCGCGTGAGAGCAAAAAAAGTCAAGAAAAAGTAATTGTAAAATTGAGGAAGAGCGAGAGACGTGAGTATGAATGAGTGTAAATAGAGCGATAAAGGAGACAGAAAAAAAAAAGCCCTGTATATAGTCATAGATTTAACGTGCGATCCGTGATAGTAATGTAGGAAAAGGAAGAATAATAACTGTAGTTGTAACAAAAAAAAAAAAAAAACGGAGAGGATGAGAAAAGGAAAAAAAAATCCACGAATTATTACTTACCCTCCGATTTTGCTGTTATACTATCCCTTTTTTAGTCCCCTCCCTCCTGTATGTACAATATTTGCAGATCCTCCTTCGATTTCCCTAACACTCCTGAATCGCGTGCACATACGCGCGTGTGATGCAATAGTCGATGGAATGAAATAGAAAAAAAAAAAAGAAAATAAAAAAGAAGAGAAGGAACCGATACATTCTTTCCAGCTCTATTGTTCAGACACATATTTATGTATCATGTACACGTACACCTATCGGCCCTCTCCTCCTGTTTTCCCGGAAAGAGGTCCTGTATAGATTTGTACCGTGACCCAGTTTGCGCAAGAGTTACGACGAACGGAGTAAAATGAAAAAAAAATAAAAAAATGTATTGAGGGGAAACTGAAATTGTTGTGTATTTCATGAACAAAAGGACAAACAAAGAGTGCGGGGAAAAAAAAAGTGAAAATAAACAAATAAATGGGTGCGCACGAGCGATTGAGCGCGTGCAGTGTTTCGACGAAAAGAAAGAGACGAAAATGATGTACGTACTCGGGAAAAACTACAATATCGTCTACACTGTAACAAAATGTATTATATTTTATATATATAAATATGTCAATGTTTTTCTATAAAAATACACTGACTATTCAATTTTTTGATGTACCCATACATCCGATTCCTATATCCTTTTAAGTATTGCTTTTTGTTTTGTTAATATGTTATTTAAAAAGATTTCCAGTGAAAAATTATTCATTTTTTCTTTGAAATTTCGAGTTTTTTTTAACTTGAAACATAAAACAATAATCACCACAGCACGATCGTAATAATCAAATGATTTTAATCAATGAATAAATCCTCAAATTCCATTTTACCTTGATTGGCACCCATTATTAAATTGTTTATCAAATTGAAACGGAAGAAGTTCAAGAATAATGCATTGAATGAATCGAAACGTCATTACATTCCGGTAAGTACGTAAATTAAGCCTGATTACAAAATTTAATAGCTCTTTATTAAGTATTGAAGTTGAAATTTTTTGTTAAATTTTAATTGCACGTAATATCTTATTGCGCAATGTAATGGATTTATTTATAATTAACTCGATACAGTTAAGCTCCATAAGAATTTCGTATCTACGTCGTTGTACCTGCAGAAATGAAAAGAAAAGTCTATGAAACAAATTCTACACCAGTTCTTGAAAAAATGGCATTACCTTCCACGTGTTCAAACCGTTAATAGCTTTTAATAAAAAAAAAAAATAAAAAAAAAGACATTGCACAATTTGCACACTGTACGGATTCACACGCAAAAAATAGAAACAAAAAAAAAGTTGGAGGACACTCTAAAAGTAATGAAGATCGCAGGCCAAGTATAAAGAGGTAGTCACGGCACATAATCGGTCTCAAATTGACTTTTTAATTTATTCAACGAGATTTTATTATTCATTTACCCGAAGGACAAGAAGGTGGGGGGAGCACCCGGAGCGAAATTATCCTTCACAACTCTCGCACGCACTGGTATGTGCGAACGAAAAAAAAAAAAAAAAAGAAAGAAAAAAAAAAGAAAAAGAAAGAAAGAAAAAAACGAGCCAACAGACATCAGCTAGATATGGAAGAGGCTTACAGGACTCGTGTCCCACACGAGCTCCGAAGTGGAATTAATAAATGCTGTTACGCCGGGCAGACGTTCAGGGCTACCTCCCCCCCTATCTCCGGCGGAGGACGTCAACGACAGAGGAATAACAAAGTACATATACATCCGTGGACGCGTATCCTCCGTCCGTGAGATGGATGGGCAAGGGGTGGTTTTGTTAGGTCTTGATTCGCGACTGGCTGGCGATAAAATCGAGTGCACACGACGGATGGACGGATCCCCGTGATGGGTATCTCGCTGCTGCGAACATTTAGGAGCGCGGGCGAAATTATCGGGTTACGTGCGAGACAGTCATCTCCGTGCGTTCTTCGGGAGCTCGTTGCTGTTGTTGTTTTGCTTTTTTCTTTGGTCCTCGTTTTTCAAGCGCATAACTCAGTCGCGAGATGTGCTGTGTTTTTATCCGACGATCTAAATGAAGCGATTGCCGATCGGGCACCGACAATTGTGAGTTACGACGGTGCGGCTGGGACTTTGGTGGCGGGAAATTATGACGATGCATAAATTAAGTGATGCGCGATTGGCTCAGTGTAATCATACGTCTTTTGTTGTTTTTTTTTTTTTCCTTTTTTTAATGCAGCTATAGTAAATTTTGAAATGTAATTACCAGAGGGGAAAAGGGGTCCGGGATGCTGGACTGTGTCTTGTTTGATAAAATTATCCGAGAAATAAAAACAGCTGTTTTGCCAGGTAATCTAATCGTGAGATAAAAACTCTGAGAGAAACCAATGCCGAGTAATTGGCACAAAAAAACTCTGTCTTACATCACTGTGCTTTAAAGTTTCCTCCTAATAAATTAGTATTTTTTAAAGATTTGTTGTTCGGCTCGATTTTTATTGGATTGCTCAGAAAGTTAAAAATTGATTAAGCCATTCTTCGGAGAATATAAAAAAAAATTAAATTATTTCAATATCACTTTGAAATATGTATCATAGAAAAATCAAAATTAATGTCGAGCTTACAAAAAATATATATGGTGCAAGAACAGTTGTAGAAGTCACTGTATTTGCCGTAAAAGAATCGTCGTTCTGTACATTGAAAAAATTAAAAATACCGGGTCAACGTGAAAATTAAATTCCTTGGCTCACCACGCAGGAGCTCATTAAAATTTTCATAACATATTTGCATGGAACATTTTTCTCGTTTACAATAAAGCACTACCTACCGATAAAAATTCAGCTTACACGCCCTTCGCTCGTTAAATATTGACGTTTCTATGCATATTACGTTCAAACACCATTTCAGGTAAACCTCGACCTTTTTACTCGCCTTACACCAAAAATGAGAAACAAAAACGCCGTCTCATAAAGAAAGAGAAAAAAAAAGTTGTTATCCCCCCCAAGAGTCGAGAAAAGAAAAGAGAAAAAAACCTCATCAAATTCGAAGTCTAATCCTCAACTCCCCCGCGCTCTGTCGAGCAAAAAGTTTCACAAACGCCTAATCCTCGTTCGGCAACCCTCACGTACATACTCTAAAAACCCTTCGAGCCACATCCTCGAGGCCACGACGAGCCAGTCATCGAATAGACGGGCAGACGAAGCGTGTGGCTAATTTACATGCAAATTTCAAATATTTCCGTGCACCAAATCAACAACCCCTTCTACCCTTGTACATAATATATACACACACATATAAGCTTATTATATTCCCCGACCCCCAAGCGAACGATATACAAGCCAAAACGCATTCATAACCCAAAACCCGTGGAGTCAATGGAGGCCAACGAGGGCCACCTGTGCGTGCGAATTACAGCTGCGGCCGCGAAAGTGTTTAGCCGGCTCAGCTGTTGCTGGCAGTTGCGAATTGCCGGTTTACGGCTTTCTTAGCCGACGCTTGGATTACATAGCCAGATTTGCCGGTGCCACCCCCACCAGCCCACTCCTACCAGCAACAACGGTACACGTACAAACTTGTATATATATATATATATGTATATATGTGTACGAGGAGCAACCAAACTTCTCAATCCATTAATGAGCAAGTTTCCACCGAATTTCCCCAACTTACACGAAGCTTCGAGTTATACGTACTATGCATGTGCTCCCTGCATATTACTCCTCTCTCTCTCTCTCTCTCTCTGCTATATCAACTGGTGTATGTATATATGTATGTAGTTGTACGGGCTTTATATGGAACAGCATATACAGCTGCGTACGACGTCAATCGACTTTGCCGAAGGCTTAGCGCTGCCGCGAACGGTTTAAAGGAGATACCGCGTGTGTGGGTGGGGTCGGGGGTTATAGGGTAATGCAAACATATACATATTTACGTATGTACCGAGCAGGAGGGGGCTTTGGTATGGAGGCTAATCGGGACGCGTCCAATCAAACTTTGACGTCTCGCGGCTGGATATGCGCGCGTCTGTGTGAGCGTACATTTTTGTTTGTATATGTGTACACCTACCCTTGAAGGTTTGGGGATGCACATGAGTGTGAGTGGTGTCGCTTGACAAGGAGTTTAGAACAGTTTAGGGGGATTTTGCGTCTTGGATGCGTAGCGTTGTGATACGGTTGGTTGGTTGGTTATCGAAAGTATACCTTCAACTTTCTTTTTTTTTTTTTTTTTTTAGTTTCCCATAAAAGTTTTAATAAATCCATTTTTTTTTTTTTTATATCTGTAGGTAAGTAAAAAATGTTGTTCTTGCTACTAAAGAGTAGTTGGTTGATACACTTTTTTTATAGTAAGGTGCACAGATTAGATTCATTTACAAGGCGGGTATTCATTAGTTGTTGACTAATCAATATTCTTTTTTAAAGGCAAACACCTTGAGGTGTGCAGCAAAAACTTGCTTTACTCATTCAGTTTCATCAACATTATTTAAATTAATTTTTTTTCTAATGTACGTATATTATAACAAGAATTGTAAATAAATTAAATTTCAATTCGAGTAGTGCATCCTGAGTTTACGTATCTATCGGTGTCTCACAGATGCCGTCCATTTATACCGATAAAGATCTGTGTATGTACATCAACTCGGAAACTCATGGTTATTTACTTTTGAAGATGTACCAACTACGCCTGGTCGTCTTGACTTAAAGTATACGTTCTTCTTACCCCCGATTGGCAGCGTAACATTTTGATACACGAAAAACTACTTAAACTGGAATCGCACGAAAGAGCAAGTTTTTATTTTTAATCAGCATAGTTTATTTTCTTTTGAAGCCTGAGATTGGCTTTTCAATCTGACATCGATTAACTCCCAGACAGATGGAGATGAAAGGCCCTCGTCTTGCTTCTTTATAATTTTTCGAGGGCTTCCGCCGAGATCCCTTGACTTTTCGCAAAAACTTTATCATCCAGAGGTTCTCCGGGACCAATTTCACGAAAAGTTCTGTACAAGTCCTTGCTATCTAAATGCACGCGATAAATCAGTTTCAGGCTTGTTAAAATCAAGTATACCAGTCTCACCAGTTATGCGATGGATAAACAAGTACATATAGTTTTTATGTTAGCCTTGGATGAAAATTACCACGTAACTCCAAGCCTTATCTTTATCTTAATCACAACAATCATCTAGAGTTGAAAGAGATGCTCCTGAGCAACCAGGCATCGGTACAGTATATGCTTATTTTTAGCAAAATCATAATCACCTTGTGGCTTACGCAACTACGCGCTGGTGTATTACTATGACCACATCTCTGTTCGAGTCGTTTTGCAACAACAGTTGGTCTTCGGCACTCGTTCGAGCAGTTACAGCTTGAGTCGGAGCAGAAGAGTCATCGTTAATTGATGGTATTTTTGTAATCGTTTTTATCAAGAAAATACAATGGAAAGGTGGTCAGGAAAAGTTGCGGTTGTAACTGGTGCATCATCGGGTATTGGATTGGCAACGGCAAAAGCTTTAGTCCAACATGGAATGACGGTCATTGGATTAGCCCGAAGAGTCGATAAAATGGAGGTTGGTAGAGAAAAGTTTTATTGAAAATACTTGTCCACTGTGATGATTAGAAATTCATTGTATACGTTATGAATCCAAGCTTGTTAAATTATACACGTTTCAAGCATTTAATCAAATTTCTGTTTTTATTTATTTCCTTTTTTTTTCTTTAATTAATTGCACTACAATAGGGTTGATAAACGTTTTAAAGAACGACCATTGCGATGCCTTGTAAAGTAATTCCTCTATTTTATTGTACTAAGGAATTCTTTTCTTTAACGATTGAAGTAAAAAGGACATAGAGAGTAAAACATTTCTATGACAGATTTAATACACTTGCAACCGTGTTAAATCAGTGACAGCCAAGTTTTTTCACTCTACAGCTTTCCCACATTATTTTTCTCTATTCGAAAGTGTTCAGTATAGTAGAATTGGTTCAATAGGTACTTGGTGTACCATAGTTTAATTTGTTTTTCAAATTCTTATTAACACAAACGTGAGTTATTTTATATAAAGTACATATTTTATCTACACGCTTTAAACGTGTACTTAAACACACTTGGATTTACAGTGTACTAACTCGCGTAAGTGCAACCTCCTGTAATGTACTGAATCTAGCCTTACGTTGAATTGTATGTAATAAGTATACAAGTCTGAGTTTGGCATGGCTAAATTTCTAATTTACTCTGATCGTAAAGTAATTTTTATAATTCTAACAAATAATTTCCGTAGAATGAAATGAAAGCAGTGAAAGGAGCAGGAAAATTTTTTGCCAAGTCATGCGACATTACAAAAGAAGCTGACGTCATTCAAGCTTTTGAGTGGATAGAAAAAAACTGTCAAACCGTCCATCTTCTTGTTAACAACGCGGGTACCATGAAATGTGCGACTATTGAAGGTCAGGGTGATATAATATCGAGAACACGAATTTTCGTATCTGCTGATAATACATAGGCCTGCATGAATTACTCAACTTTTCGTTTCTGATAATTAATTGTATCTTGAGAAATTTTGTGCTTTGATTTCGAGTGCACACACAAAATCACCTTATTGCGAAAGGCTTTCAAGACACTCAAACTTAAAACTGTCAAAAAGTATTTTTTTTTGCTTTGTTCCTCTTCAAATATCTTAAGACCAGAAAGAGCAGGGGTGATCCTGATAACAAGTTTTTTTTGGGGTACCTACGTAGTATTTAATCTGTAATTTATTTTGCTATTTTAAATTTTATGAACATTCTGATCTTATATTTGTTAAAAAGAGTTAGAAAATATACAATATATTTGCAAAAATACATAGATTTTAGTACACTCAATGAAATTTTGCCCAAGTTCTTTTTAGTCTTGGATCATTGAACATATACCAAAAAGCATACTTTTCAGCAATTTTAGATTGTATAATACCTCAAAAATCTGATGTGTTAGGGTGGTTTTGCATCCGGAATCAGATTCATCAAAAAATATTGCTGTGACTGCATTTTTATAAAAAAAAAAAAAAACTCAAAATTCTCATTTGCCGGCCTGTGTTGCCTTAAAATACTATAATGCATTTAAAAATTACAGAAGTAAAAACTGAGGACATGGTAAATATCATAAATGTCAACATCATGGGATTGTTGCATTGTACACGTCAAGCTTTGCATTTGATGAAGAAAAATGGCCACGAGGCTCACATTATCAATATCAACAGGTAAAATAAATGTTTAAAATTCATTATGAATTATATACAGAAATAATCGTTTACAATTTGCACAAAATATTCAGTATCGTAGGTCATAAAGTTCCTCAACTTCAAATACCAGTTAACGTGTATCCAGCAACAAAACACGCTGTGACTGCAATTTCCCAGACTCTTGTTAACGAACTTAAAGGCAATAACATTAGAGTAACCGTAAGATTTTTATTTAAATTGTTTTTTATTTTTATCTGAATTAAAGTAAAATTTTTCATAAAAATTATTTATTTCAATTTAGAATATTAGTCCGGGAGCAGTCAAAACCGAACTCTTTGATTTTGCACAAATAGAAGCTTTAATGAAATCGAAATTTACAACTTTAAATCCTGAAGACGTAGTCGCTTCAGTTCTACACGTCGTTTCAGCACCACTTCACGTTCAAATTACGGAACTTACTATCAAGCCTCTGGGCGAGTCTTCTTAAAAAAAAAAAAAAAAAACTGATTACAACATAATAAATGCGTTTGCTTTTAATGCTTCAATAAAAATTTTAAAGAAATTGTAAATGTTTATTTCTTTTTGGACTTCCAATTTAATTACACCTTTATCTGTCCGACGATAACAATATTTCTTAATTGGTGATTTTTATTACTACTGTAGTACTATAATCTCGACCATAATCATATATGCTTGTAAATACACATCGTTATACCATAAACAGATATTAAAAATAATATTTTATCAGCTCAGGCACTTTGAATATTTTTATAATAATGTCATCGATATCTTACATAAGTATACTGTACATATTTAATGAGATACAAATTTAAAAAAAAAAATGTTTACTCTTAAAAAGAAAAAAAAAAGAACAGAACAAAATCATTAGTTACTACAAAGTACTACCTTCTACAAATAAATTAAAAAAAAAATTTAATAATCAAAATAGGATGAGGTGTATGAACATAAAAGAATAGCGATTAGTAGGGTTTATGGAAGTTTGATGCCGAATAATTGGAAGCAAAATTTTTTGTTGCTCAGCCTTGCAGGTCACAAAATTTACGATTTGGACGAATCCGTGAACGTCTATCCAGCCACGAAGTTTGCTGTCAGAGCGATTTCCGAAACTCTGGCCAACGAACTCAAAGGAAAAAGTAACAAAATAAGAGTGACCGTACGTATGAAGCTGATAAATTCAACTCTTGATTCAACTGAAAATGTTTTATTTCCTAAAATGTGAAATTGCACGCAGAATCTGAGTCCCGGAGCGGTGAGAACGGAAATTTTTGAGGTAAGTCAATTGAAGCCCGAGACCATTGCTAATTTCCTTTACTTGGAACCGGAGGACGTAGTTTCCATGATACTGTATGCCATTTCGGTTCCTCCACATGTACAAATCAATGAACTTACGATCAATGCAAGGGGTGCGTTTTACGAAAAAAAGGCATAATTTATATATTTTTTAAAACCTTTAACATGTAAATCGGTTTACACAGTTCAAGTCTACGATGTAACTGCGCTACAAAATCTTGAATTTTTGAGCCATCGTGCAAAATCTCAGTATTACATGTAATAATAAATTAAAATAAAAAAATCAGCTTTACTAAAGAAAAACATGTTTTATTTTTTTTTTATTTGTATTCGTTACACGTGAGCGTCTCCGATGGCGCACGAACGACGTGTTTGTATAGGAATATAATTTTCCGGTCGTAAGGCCACCGGATGCGACATCAAGCTAGCCCGCAACGCTTCAGTGCTACTGTACAATTCATACCTGTATATACTTCCAGACATCCAAAAAGAGAGAAAGAGAGAGATTAGGTGGCTATCTTTGCCAGGCAGGAATGGCTTGATTAATTTCTTGGGCTTAAAATTTCTTCCCTCACGGCTTACCACGTAAGAAAAGGGATCAAGTAAGCCAACTTAAAAGCCTGTCTCTTTTATTTAACGTCACGATAAAAAAAAAAAATAAAAAGATCAAAACATCATCGAGTGCATCATTTTTCAAGTTGAAGAGTATTTATTACAACCGAGGGTCGGTTAATTACTGCTGTTGTTGGAGCGATTGAAATGTCATTAAAACGAATGGCCGGCCATTAGGGTTATCTATCGAGTCAATACCAGATGTAATACATTACGCGCGCGCGGACGGTGCGCCATCGGTCAGAAAGCAATTATTCAGAAATGTTTCACGTGCAAGACAACGCAATTTTTTCAATAATAAAACATGGTACTCTTTTTTTTTTTCTTTCTATCCGAGCGATTAATCGATTCACGCTCTCTCGAGGGGATGGACGTAAAAGAGAGCGACGAGTACCGTGAGGCCATTATTACATGGGCTGCGAACTCGCAACAACTTGACTCTGCCGCGCGGCAATTATCGACCTCGTGGAGGAGCTTTAACGCACGTCCGCTGTCGTTGTCCGATCGAATACAAACTCAAACGCGCGTTAGCAATGAAAGTCCAACGAGGCATGAGATTAGAGCATGGCTTAGCTCGCATGTTAGTTTTTATTTTTCATTTGCAATTTCCTGGAAAAAAAAATCACGAGACACATCAGAGAGATTGATGAAGGTGCCAGGGATCTATTTGATAAAGTCCATCATCCGCTAATGGATATTTCAGTTAATTTCAGAGTTATTTATCCATGTATACGTCGACTCTCCGATCTCAATAAATGCACGATGGTGGTGGAGAGACACGTAGGAGAAATCACAATAGCCGGTCGAATTGAATTTTCCGCGGCAATTTCGCACGGGCGCTCTCGCGGGGCACAATGAAATCGGCTGGTGAACCGCATCATAATAATTTAGTCCTAATAACGAGAGCTGGCCAATTATCGTCATCGCCACGGTTCTCTCTCTCTCTCCGCCTGTATGTACACGCGCAATGTGACATAATTTCGCCCGGGGGTCTTATTACGGCCGCATCGGCTTCATTACGATTTCACGCGTCGTGCCTCTCCACCACCTCCTCCTGCTCCTATCGTCGGCGCCATGAATATTGTTATCGATGATTATACATTTCGTCCTGAGTGGCAGTAATTGAATTTTAGTTTACAAATTTCGTTGTGACGCTTGAGCGTTGCATTTTGAATTTTAGTTGGATTAATATTACCACGAGTTTTAATCGACGCGTAAAGTGTTGGTGGAATTTCTGTTGTGTATTATCGGAAATCAATTATTGAGGTCACAAGTTTATCTTAATAAATACCTACTTGGCTTATTAAATCTCGAATTTTTTGCGTATGCGAAAATTGCGAAAATAGCGAAAACGAGAAAATTTTAAGGGATGGTCGATCGTATTTTCCTTTTTTTTTTTTTTTTCTTCAATGATAAGTTTTTAACTGTTTAGCTATGTTTCAACTGAAAACTAAAGTAAATGGATCATCTATATGGGCAATTGACTTTTCACTTTTGTGGTCTCAACTTTGTTATCGCATTTTTTTTAGTTGGCTTCAGTATGATTAGCAAACTGATGTACATACTCACAAGATTTCATAATTTCGTCAAGTTATCTTAATCCACTCTGCGTTTATATTACCGAATAAAAATATCTGTAATTTCATACAAGTTCTTTCTTATCTTGGATCTTAGAGCGAATTCTGGTACTTTTAATGGTGTATCGGAACACTTGTCTTTTAAAAATTTATTTAGAATTATTTAATTAGAAATTTAAAAATTGATACAAAGAAGAAAAAATAAATTTAAGGTACCTTAGGAACAAATAATTAACAATAATCTCATGATTTCTCTGGGTATTTTAGGTGATATGGAGCAATCGTGTTACTTACAAAACTCTTTTTTCCTTACCAATAATTTTCAGTTGGTTTGATCATTAAAATCACGCGATTACTAGTGTACAAAAAAAATAGCAGAATCCAAAGAAAACCAACGAAAAATTCAAGTGCTCTGAGCTGCAAGGACATTAGCAATCAATACTAAAAACCCAATTCATTAGCTTCCTCCGCAAAAACTAAACTTGCCGCGAGCATACAGAGTCCCAGCTGGAGAATTTTCAATCTGCCAATGGGCAATCCACTCCGGAACATCGGCGATCCATAAAATTTCATCGAGCAATAAATAAACGTCAGCAACGATAAATCGGATCAACAGCAGCTTTGATAAACTCGGCCAGTCGTCTTAAATCTAGCGGTGCATACATCAGCCCCGTGTAAGGTACAAAGTGTACGCCAAAGCGAAACGATTGTCCAACGTCCAGGGGGCTCGGCTCTGCCATCAATCATTCGGTCGATTTACGTTTAAAAAGGCCGGAAGGGAGAGAAGGGGCACAGCCCTAATTTTTGCTCGGGTACGAGTATAACTCAAACAATAATATCGCGACGCTGCATCGCGGGATCATACGGCCACGCGGGTAGGTATACGGTATACCTGTGGAGGTACAGCCTGCTCGGGGAGTGCGAGAAATGAGTCGGTCGAGTTGAAGAGGGGAAGGGAAGATACACGTCTCCTCGAAGAGATTGAAACTCGAACGTATGCAGAGCAGGTAAGAGTACGTTTGTGAGGAAGGGAGAGGGAGACAAAGATATACGATTTAAAAAAGTGTGTCTTGTCCCTTGCTTTTTGCTTGGGTGGCCATTTTTAATGCTCCATGTGTCTTGGCACTTTTAAATTTTTTGAGTTTTTTGCCCAAAGTATTGAATGTACCATTACACGGAATCTTCTGTTTTCTGGGGACAACTATCATAAATGCTGCAAGTTTAAGTATTGGGGATATTTTTTCATTGTTCGCGTGGAGTCAATAATACAGAAAATAATTTTTAATTTAGCATCATTTAGTTCATATAATGTTTTTTTTTTTGGGACACAAAAATTTCTTAAATCAATAAATAAAACGAAGAATTAAATGTTTGCTCAATGCATATTAATTATCACATTAAGGTGTTCTGAATTCTTGAGGAATCCAATTTTGTATGGTGTCCACGTTTTTTATCAGAATAAACCAATCACCTTGAATCGTCATTCACATCTTGAGATTTTTTTGCTCTAGTTTTAATAACTGAGATGTCTAAGCTTAATATCGCTTTGAATTTGTATTGCAATATTTTTAACGTAAGATTCTCATCCATGTTTCTACGTTAATAAATTTTATAACTAGCACCTGGTCAATGTTAATCTTTTTTTTTTAAGTGTAAAAATCAAAAGAAGCGATAAAAATATTAGAAAACCATTCTTTTAGATGTTGGACTGATAAATTCTGATTCAAGGTAAAGTGTGAATAAGTGACGATATGAGTATACTGTCAATTTCAATGAGCCTAAACATTGCTTTAACTTAAGTAATACAGTTTTTGTTTAAAATTCAAGAGCAGATTTTTTTATTTCTTCCTAAGTTCTGGTACTGAAGAAGCTCTGGTTCTAAAAAAGATAAACCATGATTTTTCCAAGAATATTATAATTAATTAATACAAATTACAGGTCGTGCATCATCTTATTGCATACGTACACGTTTTACATTATAGCATAATCAAAAAATTAATATTACTTTTTAATTTTTGTGACTTTATAAGCTTCAATTTACATTTCAATGTCCGAAAGTTTTTTATAGCTTTTGGTAGATTTTTATTGTTAAGCAGTAAGTAACCGTGATGAAATTTTTCGGAGTCTTACTGCTGTGAAGCAAAGAAAAACCGTTAATAAAATAAATCTTTTCCTGAAGCAGCTGGTTGTCGAATGGCACTGAATGAATCCAATGAAATTCACCAGAAATTGGACCTTCAAACCTCTAGAACAGCGTTGTCTTCGAATGTAAAATAACATGCGATTAGTAGGCGGACAAAACTTTTTCGATGAACTGCAAGTGAGATGAGACTCTGGTGAACAACGCGAGGGTCTCTTTGGAGTAGAGTTTGGGCTCGATACGAATGCCGATGATGGTGTTTGTGGTGGTGTAATAACCGGTTTGATTGTAATGATGCTTGTGGAAAACAAGAGGCCCTCCATCGTTACCCTGTCGAATAAAGTGAGTTACACTTTTTACAAAACAGACGCTTAAATTGGGATGATTAGATGCACAAGAAAGACTTACGATCCACTCAACACCGATATCAGTTTCAAAGTTTGTGACAATGTGTGCGTCGGTCACTTTGGGTGTAATCTTTTCGTACCATTCGAGGGGCCATACTCTGGTATCTTGATAAACGTAGTCGTTGGCATCGTCGAAACCTCTACTGTGATTGTTGACACCTACACTATGGTCACTGAAATTTTTCACCAAAAAACCGCTGTACAGCGCAGTGCTGTAATCTATTTCCGTCTTGCTGTTTGGTAAATCAACCTTCATGTATGCGTCACTCTTGTCCAGGTCGAACCCTCCATTGACCTGAAATATACTGTTTAATTGTACCTAAAAATGACTAAAGCGACCTAATCATACGCAACAAATGATATACCTCTATTGATACGGACAAGTGAGCTTCTACAATAGTTAAAGCTACCTGTGGAATAAAATTAAACCTGTGGGCTTAACAGCGAGCCATTACCTTTAATATAGCAATGTCGTTCAAATGAGAGCTGCCGTTTGAATCATCGTAACTTGGGTGGCACATGAGCTCGGCAACGTCATAGTAGGTGATTGTATTCATGGTACCGCCGCTGGCCGAATTGGTTTCTGCGTCTCTTTGGTCGGTGCGTATGCGCAGCTGAGCTCCATTGCCGAGACCGTAGACGCAGTGGGCAGCGGTGATTACGTGGAACTTGTCAATTATAGCAGCCCCGCATATGTGTTGCGGTCCTTTTCCATCGGCCGAGTTTTTTTGGATGGAGACGATGAATTTTTGATCATTGCAGTGACAAACCGCCTCAACTTCTGCAAGTTAAATTGAAATGAAAATGTTTTTTCTACGTTATCGGGAGTTTCTTATTCTGCCTTCTGTAAAAACTAGTACTGAACTCTTGAAAGATGATTTTAACGTGGAAACTATCGTATGCTGTATAGGTGGTGAGAAAACGTGACTTTAATTTCCAGAATGTGATGTAGCAATTTGAATTACCGTTTGTATATCAATTAAATTTTACCATGGACTGGAAAATTATAATGTAAAATATAAGACTCAATTTTTTAGATTTTTTAGAATATTTGGGAAGAAGATCGTGGATATCTTTGCATTAATAGCTTAAACATGGAAGTTAAAAATTGGTCGCCTAAGATATAAAAATAGGGGAAAAAAGTCGATTTTTCAACCTTCTTCCACTACATACTAAAGCTTGGAATATTGTACATCATGTACTTTTGAAATATAAATAAATAACACTGTGTAATGTTACACTCAATTTTTACAACTTCATCACATACCCACTTTTTTTAGTCAAACAATTTTTATTGCTTTTTTAAAATTTAGGTGTGAATAAAAAAAATCTTTTTAACCTTTGGTACAAACTGTGAGTATAATTAAACTATGCATTTTTCAAAGTATTTTATTCATAACTATCTAAGTATTTACTATTTTACGATAACTTGATATTCAGTTTAAAGCAGATTCACTTGACTAACGATTAATGGCCACTTTTGAATTGAATTAATTTTTTATTATAATGATAAATAAAAGATGAAAAATATTTTTCCGCCCTCGGGTGATTTTGGGAGGCTGGTACTTCCTCGGGCGAAAAAGCAGTTTTCTGGAACTCGTTCGAAAAGTCTCCTTTACGAACCTCGTTACGTCCCTCGCCTTCGGCTCAGGCCGCAAACCTCTCGGTTCGCAAACAGAGACTTTTCAAACTCGTAGGAAAACTACCATTT